AAGTGGTTTATGATAAGGGAGGTTTCAGCATATAGTCTAGAAACATATCCTCCTTCAAATACTGGCTGACTTTGTCAGTTAGACATAAAATAGGAGAGGATAGTATCCTCCCTCCCTCCCTCCTTCCCTCCCTCATTCTGCTATCCTTATATAAACTTGGCTACTTCCGAAAAGAAAATTAAAGTGTCTCACCCTCAATACACATATGCACACACCCATGTACCCACATTTATAAAATAATTGTGGGTCAGAGGGAAATGACCTACCTTCCTCATTATCTAAAAGTCAGCATCCTTTAGGATTGCTTTTACGTTGATCTGAATAGTAACTTTGCCATTTATATTGGGAAAGAGCTATGGTCATTAATAGTCAACAGTGACTTTATGGCCCATAATGAGAGGAAAGCTTATCATAAGGTACATGAAATGTTATTTATTTTGGCACTTTTAGAGAGATTGAATGCATGTTAACATATTTTTATTTGTTTCCTCAAGCTTACCTCTGCTTGTATTATTTTAAAGCTGTGTGTTTAGTAGTATTGCTAGAAAGCCCACAAAAGCACTTCTAAACATTCCAGTATCATGTGGGTTAAGTATAGAAACTTCTGGCTGACATGAATCTTACTTCAGGGCACTGTCTGCACGAAGCAAGAATTTTCATTTTAAAACATCACACTATATTTTATGTTGCTGAGTATTTTGTTGCCAAAGTATTAAAAAAATGCAAATTATGCCCTTGCACTTCAGTTACACGTAGTTTGTTGTTCTTTCAGTCAGTTAGATGTAAGCTTGTAAATGAGAAAACTATATTGCCTGAAAACTAAATAAGAACTTTAAATAAGTTTTCTAAAGACCAATCAGAAGGTATTATAAACTGTACTGTCATTCTAGTTTCCTGAATTAAAAAGCCCTAGCTGCCAGGCTGATACGTTATTATTCCTTACAGAACATTTTCCCAACTACGTGAAAAACAATCCAGTTTCCATCATTAATAGTTTTCCCTTCAAATAATATAGTATATTTGATTTAAAATATTCTCTCTCAGATCCCATTGTTTTTGTCTTTGAAAACATTAAGGGAAAATGCCAAGCCATAAAAGCTCTATAAAATTCTATACTGTATATATCTGGCTAAACTGGAAATCTACAAACATTTTTAATAATAAAAAAGAAAGAAAAATAATAAAAGGAACCTTTGATTTTTAGTGTACCTGAAATGTGAACTCTAATTAAAATTGATATAATAGTAAAGGGTGCTTGAACAGCACATTTTTAGTACAAGTTTTCTTTTTTCATCTATAGAACATCAAGGGAAAAAAATATCCAGGAAGACTTTCAAGGACAATTGTCCTTACTGAACTTAGCATGGACTTCTGTCCTTTCTCATGCAATAATTTACTATATAGCTCTATATAGCTATATTACAGCTGTAGAAATTATAGTCTATTGATTCATTCTTTAAGAAGCTATTGAAAAGGACAATGAGGATCCACCCCCACCAAATCTAAAGCACTTTGTCCATTTTTCATCTGAATATGGGTAACCCTTGACTTACAACAGTTCATTTAGAGACTGTTTGAAGTTACAACAGCACTGAAAAAAGTAACTTAGGACCATATTTCACAGTTATGACTTTTACATGCATCTCTAGGATCATGTGATCAAAATTCAGAAGCTTGGCAACTAGTTCATACTTATGACCGTTGCTGTGTCCCAAGGTCACGTGATATCTTTTGCGACAATCTGACAAGCAAAGTCAAAGGGGAAGCAAATTTCACTTAACAACTGAGGCAAGAAAATTCGTAAAATGGAACAAAACTCACTTAAGAAATGTCTCACTTAACAACAGAAATGTTGGGGACAATTGTCGTAAGTCGAGAACTACCTGTAATGCACTATTCTCAATATGTTAACCCATCTACTATATTCTGTTAAGTTCAGCTTTTATCATGTGCCACTTGAGTATGATTTCCAGATTTGGACATTACATTTTAAGGATTCAGAGTAATTAGAAGATTAACAAAGATTAACATTAGAGATGATTAACAAAGAATTAATTTCTTAAGAATTATGAAAGTACAAGCTTCCTACAACAAACCATGGGAAGAGAGATTGAAGGAATTGGGTATAAAATTGAAAGAAGGAAGGGATATAACAATACTCTTTAAACATCTGAAAGTATATCACCTAAAGAAGATCAAGATCTGTTTTTTCTCAGAGTACAGAATTTGGAATGAATGGATTTAAGATATAAAGGTAAAGATTTTCTCTTGGTGCTTATCTCCATTTCTTAGCTGAGGGACCAGCATTGTCCAAAGACACTTCCATGGTTATGTGACCAGCTGCTAGTGGTACCTATTTATCTACTCACATTTGCATGCATTCTAACTTCTAGGTTGGCAGGAACTGGGACAAGTAATGAGAGCTCAACCTGTGATACATTGCTTGGTTCTTGAATGCAGGCCTGTCAGCTTTCCTGTTGATAAGCTCAACATCTTTAACCACTGATAATCATGCACATGGATTTAAGATATAGAAAGGGAGATTTTAGGTTTAATGTCATTTAAAAACCCTCCTTTTAATGGTAGGTCTATGGTGAACTCACTGAACGTATGGTAGGTTATGATGGACCAAACTAGAAAGCCATCTGTCTGTGATGTTCTAATTTGGATTCCAATATTGAACAGTGATTTGGGCTTAATAGCCTAAATGGCTTCTTCAGATGTTGTAATTTCTGTCAGATTTTGTTTTTCATTAATTGTGTGGAGGGACTAACAGTCATCATGATTATAGTAGAGATGGAGATGATGATAAGTATACATATAAATATCGTGTCTAATTCTTACTACAAAGATCAAAATAAGACATTTAAATTATTTAAATTTACTTTAGGCAAACATCAAAAGCAATATCTTCACTGCCAAAGGATTGCCTGTTCATCTGTCTGTCTGTCTGTCTGTCTGTCTGTCTGTCTGTCTGTCTGTCTGTCTGTCTGTCTATCTTTCTGTTTACCTATCTATCTGTCCAGCCATCAAAGCAGAAAAAGGGAAGAATGCATTGTTAGGGTTTGTTATAAGTATTCTGTAATTTGTTTCTAAAACAAAGACATTACTGTAAATTTTAAATCAGTGTTGCTATGTTTAATAAATACACAGGTATATCTATTAGATTTAGTGAAATTAAATTTTATGTAGATGTTCTTAAGAATACATTTTTTATTTCTAGTGTTGGATAGAATTGCTGTAACGTGTGTGTGTGTGTGTGTGTGTGTGTGTGTGTGTGTGCATGTGTGTGTGTGTGTGTGTGTGTAAACTGCTTCTTTCAAAATAGGAGATCAGGGCATCCATGAGACTACATAGCTCACTCTAAACTTTTGATGCCATCAACGCACATTTTTTTCATTATGCTCTTTCAGTAGATACTGAATTCCCACTTAATGCATTGTTTTAACTCTAGTTCATCATTTATATGTTACAACAGGCAGACATAGTGTTGTGCATAGTATTACTCCTCGTTAAGTTAGCAGTTGTGGAGAATTTGAATCTGTACAATCCTGCAACCTGCTAATGTGATATTTAATGAGGAGACATCAGTCTGGAGAAAGGTAGTCAATATAAATCAGTGTTTACAAAGTGTGATTAACTCTGAAATATTTCATCAATGCTCTGGTCCCAGGCATACTCTATGCTAATTACTAGAATCTGTGCATGTTTCAGGGGACATCTTGAGGCTCAGAGTGCAGCAAACATGGAGCAGCAAAATTGCAATTATGCCTAGGCTGTCTCTGATGGCAATTTATGCATTTGGTGTGATGACCTCCCACTTCCCAAGAGAGCAATAAAGAGAATGCATTTTCATTAAGATACTAATGCACTTAATCACAAGGGGAAAGGGTTAGAAAGTAACAAAATACTTCTAAAGCAAGATGGGGAATCACTGTTGGGGAAAAGCATTCTGATATTCTTTCCATGAAGTACTACTACCACAGATTGCATCTGTCCAAGTCAGTAAGAATACCTATATTAGTCAAACAATTAAATTCATCTTAAAAAATACTGTTCCTCTGCTTGAATTAGCATATGATATGGAAACAGAACACAAGACAACCTCTCTTAAAGCAGACTGAAGCGCTAGCAAGTGCAGATTTTTCAGGAATTTTTTTCCAGGAATTCCTTAAACAGAATGTAATATCAAGAAAAGATTCATGCTTTTTTGGCCTCAGGAGGTGATATTCAGTTGTATTCAGCCTCTCAAACTTAATTCTCCTCTCTACAAAAATGTATCTTAATAAAAAGACATTGATAACTCTCTTCTTCCTGAATGCATCTCGGCCTTTTTAAACATATTAAGCAATTATCACTGTTTTATTTGATGGCAGTGAATTCCATAAGTTGAATGAAATTCTTCCAGCATTTGATTCTGAAGTCTAGAAATAGGAGAACAATTCTCTCACTACCTTTCATGATTTTATATTATGCTTTGTACTATTCAGTTCAGTATGTCATTTTTATAAGTCTTTAGTGATTTTCCTTTTAACAATTCCACCCTGAATTATGGCTGAAGCAAATATGGGTGCTATATTCATATCAAAACCTTGGGGAATAAAAGGTTGCAGGAACAGATAGATTTCCTTGAGAAGCATACAATAGCAAAGTGCTTAAAATGTTTAGGCAGAACAACTCTGCATTTAGGTGTGCGCAACTCTGCATTTACTATTTTGTGGAAAAAATATGCTAAGCAATACCCCACTTAAACTTTTAAACTGTGTCAAGATACGTGGTTTTAATATTCTGCTTTTGTAGTTTTCTTTAGAATAAGATACTGTTTGCAAAAACAAAAGAAAGTCTGTAAAAAAAAATTAAGTCCAGCTACTAACATTTTCAATTTCATGGTTTTCTTGTTTAGACTTTCAGTTACAGTTGTATTTCTTCTAGTTGATTAACAAAATTATAGCTGATATTTCTTAATGGGTTTTTCTTTTTATGTACTTTAAATGTTTTAGGTAACATAGAATATAGCTGCCCAGCAACAAATGAATGTGAAATCACAAAGCGCAGACGCAAATCCTGTCAAGCTTGTCGTTTTATGAAGTGTCTAAAAGTTGGCATGCTGAAAGAAGGTAAGGCTGATCAGCCCCTTTTATAGAATTGTTCATAAACACTGTTAGAACTATAATTTAATCTGATAAATGCAATGTATCATTTTCAGACATCGTTTTTAAAAAATAAAACAATATAATTGTTCCATAGAGATGGAGATAAATTTCTTCAGTTTAACGCAAGCAAACTATATTTTTTTCTGATACATCAGCTGAACATTATATTTATATATTTGTACATTTTGAAATGCTGTTATCCAATAGAAATGCCTCTAAAATGAATGTCTGAGGGAATATGCTTCATACAATGTACATAATGTTATTAAAAACTCAGCTAGCTAAAGTAGTCCTCAAGCTATGACTTCTGAAGTTAATGAAATTAGAACAGCAGGTAGACAATTTGTCGTTGTTCCTTTGCTGAGTTGTGCCTGACTCTTTGTGATGCCATGGTAAACCAGGCTTCCCTGTCCTTCATTGTCTCCCAGAGTCTGCTCAAATTCATGTTCATTGTGTCAATAATACTATCTAACCATCTAATCCTTTCTCGCGCGCCCCCCTCCCTTCTCCTTGTGACTACAAACTTTTCCAATATACAGTCAGGTCGTATTCCATTCCATATTTTAAACCAATCAATTGTTCCATGTCTAGTTTTAACTGTTGCTTCTTGACCCATATACAGGTTTCTCAGGAGACAGGTAAGGTGGTCTGGTACTCCCATTTTTTTTAAGAACTTGCTACAGATAATTGTGAGAGTCCACAATCAAAGGCTTTAACATACATAATCAATGAAGCAGAAATTGATATTTTTCTGGAACTTCCTTCCTTTTTCCATAATCCAGTGAATACTGACAATTTAATCTCTGGTTCTTCTGCCTTTTTGAAACCCAGTTTGTTACAGCTATTAAGAATTCAGTACACAATTCCTATAATTTTAAGACATGTTTTGATTGTACTTACCCATAAAATACAAAAATATATTGAATAAGTAGACACTATTTTTTTTTATTCTTTTGGGTAGTATGATATGATCTACACATCTCCCACAGCAGATCAACCTGAGATCAACCTAAGGTTTTGAACTCTAAAGTAGTTGTAATGCATCTGTCTTCCTGCAGTAGCAGCAACCTCTTAGATTAGGGCCCTTTTTTTTTCCACAGGCATGATTTTCATCACTTGCTTCTTTGTCATATATTAGAATGCCATTATTTCAGTTCATCTTCCATTGGATTGTAACTTAGTATTTATTTCTGATCCACCAGCTCTACAGTGCTTAATCTAGTGGAGAAAAAGCAAGCTTTTGTATTGGTGAAAGCAAGAAAAATGAGAACAACAGATTTTAACTATGTGGTCATTTACAGGTTTATTTAGAAATGCCTTTGAATTGAGTAGATGTTACTGCTGGATGTAGCTATAGAATAGCAGTTTAGATTAAAAAAACCAGAATACTGGAAATTTAGGTTGTATTCTTCAAGAAGAATACAATTGTATATGTTCATGTATGCCTGGTTCACATAGTGTCAGAGAAATCCATATTGAAATACACAAAAAGCTTTGATGTAGGTTAAGCATCTACCTAAAATGCAGTTTGCATTGAAAATAAGGTTTGATTTTTCCATTCAGAAATGGAAGTTCAAATTTTATTTTCCTTAGAAACCAATTTCCCTATGACTGTTGTTCACAAGTAAGCGTGTAGAGTCATTGCTGAGTTGGGTGACCTTACAAATCTATATAATAAACAAACATGGACTAACCAAGCAATAGCAGAAAAATTAGGCCTATCACACCCTTTCAGACATACTCTTATTGGATTATACTTACTTAGAATAAACCCATTTTGTGTATGGTTGCTTTGGCAGGCATGATGGTCGTGTGAGCCAAATCCTGCTGCCTTTAGTTTTATGCTGGATAAATTCCTTTCTAATTCAGTGGGGACTCTACCTCATTAAGAGATTCAGGATTTGGCTTTTTTAATTCAGATCTGGATAGGGCTTCATCCATATGGAAACCCTAATTTGTTTCATGTTATGAAACTGTATTACAGAAACCTTTAATGGAAGCTTAACATGAAGTCAAACATGAACAACATCCTGGATATGAGTCTTTTTCAGTCAGTTGTTACTGTTAAATCTATTTGTCCAGCTGAAGGAAAAAGGCATTGTGCAGATTGAGTCATAGTGCCATTTTTCCCCCCTTCATGTAATAGGTTTTTGTTTTTTCCTGTCATCTCAGTAACCAAGATTTGTGAAAGTGATCAACGCTGATCTTTTCCTCAAGCTATTTATGTTGCTGTTCCTCTTTTGTTTTGTTTTGTAAATAGAAGGCTTTTTGTCCTCTACCTTCAAGATAAGTATTCTTGGAGAAAATTCACCCCCAAACTAGGGATTAGGGATCTCCCATCATCAAACAACAAAGCGCCATCTCACAGTTGAAAATATAAGTGCAAAACCATGCCTTTCTTTTCCCCCAGCATGGCTAATGACAGCTTCAAATAACAATTTAAGCTAGGGAAATATTGAAGGTTAAACACTGACTGTTTAAACTCTTTCATCTTTGGAGAACAAAATGAAATTTAAAAATGAAGTTACAATAAGATAGCTGTGGCAAAAATTATCCCCTATGTTCTCCTTGAGAGAACTTTACTTCACTTCTTTATGTAGGTGCTGCTGGCACCTGATAACGTATGCTTCTGCAGATATCCATTTTTAGTCTGACGGAGGTTCTCAAAACAAATAATTCTTGTTTTATTTTATTTTAGGTTTTATTTCATTTTAAAGTGTGATATCTCAGATATGTATAATCGGTTCTAATTGTCCACTCTTGAGATGGCAGCATGAAATTTGAGGACATTTCTGCTTTAAGGAATATGTGATATGTGCAGGAATTGGCCTTTATTTGGCTTATTTTGTTTGTTAAATGATTAATTTCCAAATCTTACCATTATTATTTTTTTCTTAACTGAGCTTCAGGGAGACAATTGTTTGATCCAATTTCCAGAGAAGTGGAAGAAACTCATTATAATATGAATCAATGTACAACTTAATTACTCAAAGAAATAGTTTTATATTTGGTAACTAATTAGTTTATGCTCATTAGCAATGCTAGAAATTCATTCAAAAAGCTATTTATTGAGAATATCTGTCCTATCATCAGAGATTTCTTAACTATCTTTTAAGTTTCATAGATTTGACCCAAATAACATATTAAGAGCCAATTTCAGGGGCTAACACGAGATGTCACCCTTAATCTTTACTCAGTCTTGCTCAATGTTCAGCAAATTAAATGTTTTAATATTTGTGAAATAAATGGAGTCATTAAATTATATTTAAGAAGGAAATACCGTACAGTGAAAGTTTGTAATGTGCTGCTTATTTCTGCTACTTTGGGGTGCTTACAAAACATAGTAGAAGGGAGAATAAAGCAAATTTATTCTTGCTATAATCCTTTTTCGGTATATTGTAGAATAGGATTGAGTAGCTGTGTCTCAGGATGGTTTTAAATGTATACTTTTTAAAAAAAATATTCCCATGCAGCATGCCAGAGGAGGCCATTTATTCAAATGTAAATCTGTTCAATTAAATTACTGGTCTATAATAAAATTTACTGTTGCAACCTTCATGTTGGCTACAGCAGTTGCTACATGCTGATGGCACAGTATGAATAAAAAATGACAGCCTAAATCTATTTACTTTAAAAAAAATAGTTGCAAGACTTGAATTACTCCAGCTTTCATAAAAAATAGTATCTCCTTCATGGAAAATTGATAAGCATATTGGACAAAATGGTACTTATATAAATATTTTTATTAATACAGAAATTAGTGTGAACAAGGCAGAAGCAAGTACAGTAACAATCTGTTTTCAGTGTCCAGGCAGATGCTGCTGTAAAATGCCAGATTTTGACCTTTTCATGGCAGATGTCTAGGTTCCCAAAGTTCTCTGCCAATACTATATAGACAACAGACAGGAATACTTTGCATATATCTAAAATACTGCTGTTCTATGTTCCAGCCAGCCAGCCTGTTATGCTGTTTTTGAGGATATTTGTCATTGTATTGCTATTGTGCTGAACAAATCTTTCCAATGTTTCAAAAAAGTTGATGAATTTTTGAAAGATATTAAAGTTTTACATAAACATGCTGAAACCTCAGTCTATGAGCATATTTTGGCCTGAGCTATTACCAAAAGTGTGCAATTATAATCAAGGGTCAGAAAATGAATTTCTGGATGTTTAGATGTATACATCCATAGTATATATGGATACTATACATATATAAAATTTTATACATATATAAAATTCCATGCTTAGCAATTTCATGATTTCATGGTTTCTGAATATGTCACCACTGATCTTTTGTATTTCTTAAAAGTGTGAGTTGGTTGGTTGTGCATTTCTTAACATTTTAGGCTTCTCTTGGATCTTATACTATCTTTGTGGTGTGGGGAGAAAAACCATTTGTTTTTCATCAACCATCTAAAGTTGGTTGGGGAATTCTGAAAGATGAAGTCCGTACATCTTCAAGTTGCCAAGGTTGAAAAATGCTAAAATGTCCCCAAGAATGATTGTCTTAGGGTCCCACCAGAAAATATTTTGTCAAAATGAGTGCCACAAAGTTCCTTGTTAGAAAGTTTACCCCTCTATGTTGCTATGAGTCTCACAACATGAGAACATAAAAATGAAAGAGAAAAGGTTAGTAAATGCAAAAAAAAAGCATTGAAACAATGTATCATGAGTCATGTGTTGATAACCAAAAGAGTAAGTAAAGGGTAATCAATTTATATGATTTACTGTTTTGGCTGCCTAGTCCAAAATACATTTCTTTATTGATGGAAACCTCAAGTGTTTGTGTATTTAATAGATGAATGCGACAGCCTTCCACCAACTGTTTCTAAGACCAACAACACCAAACAAAGTGATGTAGACATACATGCATACATGCATAATAAATAAGCAAGATCAGCAATTAAAAATAGCCAGCATGAATGGGCCTTTTGCCATTCTGCCTTACCCCACCTCAGATGGCA